CATTGTAGGACAAACACCAGCGTTCATAAAACTAATTAAGGGTCTGCTACTTTTATGTACCAGGGCACTGGTAGTAGACTAAACTAGTGGAGATAACACACATTGACCAAGGAGCCTTATCACAGAGCTGTCAGAGCAGGGTAAACACAGGCGTAGCCCCCCCCAACATTAACATTGAGTAGGTTAGGCAGGCGTTTCATTTGTGAGTCAAAGCACCAGCACTGGTCAATGTGTGTCATCTTCCTTTGTTTAGTCTACAACCCCTGCCATGGTACATGAAAGAAACGGACCCATAATTGGTGTGGGAAAACCTCTGTGAAAAGGGTCTTTTAAAAAGGATTGCATGCCGAGATAACCATTCTCTGAACCTCTAGAATTTGGAAATTAAGTTGGGTATGAACAACATAACCTAGGCTTAACAAGTGGTCGCTAAGGTTGGCAACAACATATACCATGACTCGTAGTGGTTATCAAGGTAATCAACAATGTATACCTTGACTAGTAGTGGTTGAACTAGTGGTAAGTGAAGGAGTTGCAGCAACAACAGTCGAGTCAGACTTCCTGGTCGAGAGATCAATGGGACAGCCATTGCTTGGGACTGCCCTCTGGGCCTCGGATGCCATATCCGAGTTTGCCTCCCCTTGTTCTAAGGTAGTGACCGCAGCCTCAGTGGTGCTGACCGGAGCCTCAGTGGTGCTGACCGGAACCTCAGTGGTGCTGACCGGAGCCTCAGTGGTGCTGACCGGAGCCTCAGTGGTGCTGACCGGAGCCTCAGTGGTGCTGACCGGAGCCTCAGTGGTGCTGACCGGAGCCTCAGTGCTGCTGACCGGAGCCGCCGTGGTGCTGACCGGAGCCTCAGTGGTGCTGACCGGAGCCTCAGTGGTGCTGACCGGAGCCTCAGTGGTGCTTGACAACTGGCCTGAAGGCAGCATCTCTACAGCACTAGTGGAAGCCTTCACCTCTGCACTTAGCTGGGCAGTCTAAACAAAAAGGAAAGACTCCCTTATTACGATTCCCTAAAAATGTAACTTTAGATGTGTATATGATGGAAGAATGAGAAAATAGGTCAAAGCAAATGATATTGTTGGCTCCAAGTAAAAGGTGCACTATTTATTTTAACATTTTCAAATACTTGTTTGACCAAATGCTATCAAAAGGGTAGCACCGCTTAATTTTTGAACCTCAAATCTATTCTCTTATACTATAGATCCATACACACCAGTGCCTCCTGTACTTTGCGGACCTCCGTCTCAAACTCTTCAGCCTTGTCTCCCTCTGAATCGCTGGTGCCCAGTTCACAGAAGAAGGTTGGGGGAAGTTTTAGGCTCTTTGCCTTTTCTTCCTCTTCTGGTGTGGGCTTCTTTTCCCAGACCAACTGGCAGTCTGGATCTGAGGCTACTCCGGCTAAAGAAAATACAAAACTCTTTGTATTTGGAAAGCCAAATCATTCATAGTATGCTGTAGCCATTACAATTAGTGTGTGTCAGTGTTGTAGTCGAGTCACTATGCCTCGAGTCCGAGTCCAGGCTCGAGTCTCCAGTGTACGAGTCCGAGTCAAGTCCAAGTCATAAAAAAAAAATCTGAGTCGAGTCCCTATTGATCCACATCGAGTCCGAGTCAGCACTAAAGCAAGCCCTAACCCTAACCCTAACTCAGAAATGCAACTCTAATGTGCTTTATTTGCACATACATAACCATGTCTTCTATCATGAATAGCTTAAGCTATTCATGATATAGCATGATATACATGATATACATGATATAACATGAATAGCTTAAGCTATTCATGCTATTCAAGCTATTCATAACATGGTTATGAGTCATGGCGGGTCCGCGATCCACCTCCGTAGCGGATCCAACGTGGCGTGCAAGTGTACCCCGATACGGGTCCGTTTCGCGGATCCGTTCCGAAAGCTGCGATACTCCTACGGAGTCCTTTTGCTGTGTGGGTTATTTACGTAGTTACGTAATTACGTTACGTTATTAACTTAGTTACATGTGATGTATGACATGAAGCAGTAACATTCCCTTGCACTAATCGTATATCAAATTATAGAATAATGGCATATTACAATTATAGCCTGACATAAAAAAAAAGTCGAGTCCTCGTCTTAATTCTCAAGTCCCTAATGCACGAGTCCGAGTCAAGTTCGAGTCATTCAGTGCTCGAGTCCAAGTCAAGTCACGAGTCTCTAAATTTAGCTCACGAGTCGGACGAGTACTACAACACTGGTGTGTAAAACCCTCATTACAATGCCAATATTTCTGTACTGTACGGTTTTCTCTTGAATGCTCATATTTCTCAGTTCTGTGCTGCATATCGCATACCATTAGATGCTGCAGCTCCTCTCTGCGTAGGGTCAGGGTAGAGTTTTCCATTTAAGGATTTCACAGCCGATTCATAGTCTTCATCTGAAAAGTCAAATATCACATTCAACCTGTAGCACCAATTACAACCCATTCTATATCCTAGAAAGGACATGTGAGAAAGTACCGTTTTTACCGAGGTTGACTCAAAAATTGAGTGGGAGGAAATTATTATACCATCCTACAGAGGGCGCTATAGTGTATTCACCTGTAGTCAATTTCGCATCAACTGTGCTCTGCTCCATTAAATCTTAAATCTTACCTACAGCGCCTCAAAGTTTAACCTTAACTGTCCTACAGGCCGTTTGATAATTAAACCATTAATAATGTAAAACAATGTGGTTTTGGGTAAACCCTACTAGGCCGTGCTTGACAACTAAATATATAGTATATAAACATATACTCAATATACTTAGTGATGGACAACAGGATCTAACCTTGTAAAATAACCATAACATATCATAGGATGTATCTACTACACACCTACCAAATATCTCAGGAAAATGTAAAAAAGTGTATTAATATACATTTCAAAGTCTGCTAATAAACTCAGTCTTGGAAAAACTACATAAACTGTTTTGTGTAGTTTGTACATCTGCAAAGTCCGCTCATGTGGCTTGGCCACATGAGGGATTGGATATCCACTTTTTGTTATCCGCTTGGCTACATAGCCAGGAGGGAAAAAAGACTAAATCATTAAATCGGCATAGAGGGAATCGATACTAAAATTAAGAGAGATTGCAATTGATTTAATAGAACAGTTTTTGATGCTTAATGTACATCCTAATAACCCCTAATAACATAATTGGAAGTAAATGGCAGATTTATGTTGTCCATCGCTTTAATAACCTTTCTCTCATTTGTGCATCTTACCATCAGTTTCGTCATCGCTGGTGTAGCCTGGCTCGTTCTGGTAGCAGAAGAAAGTGAGTGGCAGAAGTAAACTCTTGGCCAACGCTGCCTGCTCAGTTGAAGGCTCCCTCACGTACACCACCTCAACATCAGACTTTTCAGAACTTCCTTCTGCATAAGTGGGTGCTGGAACAGAGATCAGGAGGAAAAAAACTAATATTAGAGAGCAAATTGTAGTTGAATTTATAGTTGCCTCATCTACCCAGCTGATTGGAAACAAAAGGCAGGATGTTAATATGTTAGGAATTCACACACAAAATCACAAGATGCCTTACAAAAGAAACAACGTGCATTTGTAATGGAATAACTACCATCGAAGCTTGACCAAAAAAATTAAATGAAAGTAATGTTCCATTCATTTAAGCTGAGTATTCCTGTTTTTTTTTTAAACATAGGAATAAGTCCGGTGCTGTTTGATAGACCCATGGCCATTTCTATTGAATTCTATGCTGTATTGAATTCTATGCTGAAAGCTCTTGTTAGGCCCTCGTTCACCTATTAGGAATCTAGAAATAGACAATGACACTACTTCCTGACCACCGCTTTAAAAACTATAGCAGGGGTTCCCAACCTTTTTTAACTTGAGGCTTACTTCCCCATCTCAAAAGTGTTTGTGGCTCGCAGCCAACATAAAATACGGTATTTTGGAATCCAACCATAACTCAATTATCAAAATAAGCCATACTTAGGTACCATATGTACCTATACATATTATGTAAAGCATTTTATCAGAAACATATGATCAACGTTGTTACCCTCTAGGGGTTTCAGGTTGGGAATCACTGAACAAGAGGTCAACAGCTAGATTTTTAAATGCTAATGGTATCCAGGATTTTGGTTAACGTGATTGTTTGGCTAATATCCAGTCCTACTGACCGGAATGGAATACCTTAGCATGCCACGCACATGCAAGATCAATTATATCATGGCAATAAAACATGCACTCCTGTTAGCACCCGTTTTTACACATTTGTGCCCATCGAGATCCGAACACAGGTACCAAACTCTTGGTCCAGTTACGGCTCTCGGTAGTAAGGCGACACATTCCGATCGGTACTTAAAAAGTACTAAGGTTCGGTACCCAGCCCTAGCGGTTAGTTTAAATGCCAAAAATAATTTGTCAACCACTTCACCAAGCCAGCGTGCAGCATGTTATACACAACCTTTAGCACCTGATCAAGTGAAATTGGGAACTGTTGACAGACTCCAAAAGTGGGAGGAGAATATTACTGTGCCAACATTGCTCATTGCAAATGATAACAATGGCTTTGGATTCATTGGCAGTATACAGGTTTAACTGCTTACTCAAAGTACAATTAGAATCTGTTTTTGGCAACACACACTGGGCATGCAACATGTTAAGTGTATATGTATATTTTGCTTCCAGGCTATAGCCTTCTGTCAGGTGAAAGCTGGTAACATGTGGCATTGCATGGCACACACAGGGGCATGGCAATGATAAGTACCTGGGGACTCAAATTTGAAGGAAGATGTGGTGGTCCAAAAAGCCATTGGATTATCTTTGAAAAGCCTAAAATCCAATCCTAAAAAGATAGCATGTTTGAAGAAAAAAACTAAATTCAAGGCTGAATCAAATCTCAGATTAATGCTACTAAACCTGCACCACATACGCCATTGTGAACTAGAGAATATGCCATTTGGTGGACGCTTTTATCCAAATCGCCTTGCAATACTATTTGTAAATACATTTTTATCAAGGGTGGCCCAATAGGAAACAAACCCCTGACCCTGGCAGCGTTAATGCCATGCTCTACCAGTTGAGCTAGCCTTGTCTTCTACATTTTTATTAGTCATTTCCATAAATGGTAATCCTCTACCCATTGTGAGCTTTTCTGCCTTCTACATAGGCCAAGCAAAATGAATGGAAGTGGGCATGAAAACCAGAAACAAGGATGGAGGATTTATGCATGGTTGTTGAAAGCAAAGTACTTTTGATGAGCATGCACAGATTACTTTAATCCCATCAATGGAAGATCCGTGTACCTGTGATCTAAAACAATTTTAGTACCTCATTCAACACACTGCACTAAAAATATAGCTTGTTCAAATTCAAATGTTAAGAGCCAAACCTACATTTATATTGGGATGATAATTTCTAGTGTGGCTGGATAATCATATTAGCCTAAAATTCACACATTGGTGTTCAAAAGTGAATAGAACGTTTGAGAACGTTTCAGGGATTTCCTCTCAGCATTGAATAAGGTTTGCACGGCAGAGATGGGGATACATTTACAAAACAGGGGACAAACTAAAACAAGAGCAAATTAAATACAATATTTTAAAACTGCTTTGAAAGACTTGCCTTTCTCTGGGATTTTGAATGCAGGTGATGCAGACGACTGGGACAAATGGCGGTTGTCTTCCGTCCTGAAGTTGGATGAAGAATTTTCTGTCTCTGGGGAAGATTTGGGTGTGCCAAAGATTTTTTGGAGGGTATCTGTACCAAACACAAACTTCGGGGGAGAAACCACCATTTTCATAGGGTTAGAAGGGCTGGAAGTTACAGGCATCAAGGGCTGACTGTCTGAAATCAGGTCTGTGCTCTCTTTAATGGCTTCTTCCATGATGGCAATGGCTGCTTTTCCACATACCGGGGTAGGTGTAGTGATGGATGCCAATGATATTGTGTCCTGAGGAGTGGCCACCCTTGAAGTCACTGGGGTCAATAGTGTCTCACTTTCCTGTGCATCTTTGGCCTTCTCAAAGACCTCTTTGAATGCATTTGCTACATCCTGTAGTTTGAACCTCACAGCTAATTGTTCGACTTTGCCATCTTTAGCATCAGCAAAGTCTACAGCGCTCCACACCCAGGACTTCTCAGATCCTTTCATAATTTCTAGCTTCGTAGCAGTTGTAATCCAGTGGTTGGCACAAATCTTGAGCACCTGATCTCTTCTCATGATCAGCCTCACTCGTCTAGTGTCGTAGTTCTGCAGGATCTTGATGTCTCCAATGCCCCTCTCCTTCCATTGGGCAAGATCTTTGTCGTAACGGTACAATTTAGCCCGGTGATTGAAGACCACCTGCTCATTTTCCTCTCCCGTGGAAATCTCCACAAGATCAGGTAAAGGTACAATGGGTTCAAAGTACTGGCCATCTCTTTCATCATCTTGAGTTGAATCTTGCTCATCATCAGTGCCCACTGATACCCCGCTCAGATTGAGCTTAGCAGGAGACTTGGAAGGGCTGATGCCAGGCTGAAAACTGAAGCTAAAACCACCAGTGGATTCTCCGAAGCGAAATAGGTTCTTTCTAACAGGACTGCTGGCTAGAGGAGAAGCATATACAGAAGTGTCAATGGAGTTGTCTAAAGGATCCCCTCTAAGATCGTAGTTATCCCATTCCAAAGTGGGACCTGTGCCTTCAGTGTGGGGCTTCACGGTCAGCCCCATCACATTGCTGGATGCAGTGAGGTCTGCTGCGTTCTCATCACTGAGTTTAGTTTTCTCATCCGTCAGGAAACATTTGAGATCTTTTAAACCAGACTTCATTTCCTCAGCTTTCTGAATAAGGTGGGCTGTTCTGCCAGTGTCAACAAGCTTGTGTGGAGTCTGCAATGGGATATCTAATAGGAGTCTCTGGCACTCTTCAAACTTTTGCTTGAACTCCAAAGCTAGCTCTGGTGTTTTGAACTTGGCTGCTAGTTGTTCCATTCTAGCATCTCCATCAGAGAAATCATTGGCCAACCACATCCATGCCTTGTCAGAGCCTGCTAGAGGCTTAAGATTCATTGTGGTGGTGATCCAGTGGTTGGCGCATACCTTCAGGACCTGCTCCCTTCTCATTAAAACCCTGAGTCTGCCATTGGTGGCATTTTTTAGAAATTTAAGGACACCCAAGCCACGTTCTTTCCATTGGCTATCGCCGGCATCAAAACGAAACAGCTTTACACGCTGGTAGTAAAGAACCTGCTCTTCCTCCTCTCCTGTGACAAGGTCAACTTTATCTGGCATCTGAACAACGGGCTCAAACTGTATGTCATCATTCTCCTCTGTCTTGTACATGTCCTCTTCTTCTTGGGTAGCTGTAGAGTCTACCTTGCTTGGGGACCCCTGGCTGGATAAGAACAGCTGCTCACCAGCACGGGAGAAGCCCTTAAAAGTGGGGTCATTTTGGCCAAATTGAAAGTCCCCACTAGAAGACATGGCCAGGTCTGCAAAACTGAATGTATTGGGCTTATCAGTGAATAGTGCATTTTGGTCTTGCTCAGGTCCATCCATAGATTGTGTAGACATTGTTTCTTTGTGTTGGTCCGCCAAGCTTTTCAGGACTGTAGAAGCCGACACTGGTGCTGTTTGAGTCTTTACCACAGACGTTTCATTTGCAATTTCTTGAGTACCAAACTTGAATCCCCCGGCTTGAATGGGCAGTGCAAATGAAAAACTTGAAGCACTGGTAACAACAGTCTTTGATTGTGGAGTTCCAAAGTTAAATGAAGAACCTTTGCCATTAGCAAAGCCAGAAGTAAAGGCAGTCCCAGCAGATTGACTCGATGAGCTTTTATCTCCAAAGGTAAAGCTAAATGTTGAGCTACTGAGGCCTGATGCTGAAGGAGCAAGACCAGTTGTACTTTTGTTAGGATTAGGCATCTGGCAGGACAAACATTGACTGACCGAAGCATTGTTCCTGACCATACAAGTGTCACAGTCCCATTCCCCATCTTTCTTAGCAAACATGGCTCCAAGAGATAGAGTAGGGTACGGGGCCTGGCAGGAAACACATTTTATAACCGATTGTTCATTTTTCACAGCACACTTTTCACAATCCCAAAGCTGGGGCAGCTTCCCTTCTTGAATACCAAACACAGAGGTCTTAGTGGCTGTAGCTAGTGTAGGGGAGGGAGCTTTGGATAATGGATTCAAAGTTTGACAAGCAACACAACTCTTTGATGAGGACTCATTTCTTACATAACATGCGTCACAGTCCCACTGATCTGGCTTCTTCACAAATTGGCTACCAAAACTGGAGCCAAACAAAGAGCTCAGAGGCTTGGTGGTTGGGGCAGCTGACATTTGTGCAGGGGGACCTGCTGTTGCTGATGGCATTGGGGCAACTGATTCTGCTGAGGCCTGAGGAGCTTGACAGGCAACACAATTCTTTGATGAGGACTCATTTCTTACATAACATGCATCACAGTCCCACTGACCTGGCTTCTTCCCAAATTGGCTACCGAAATTGGAGCCAAACGCAGAGCTCAGAGGCTTGGTGGTAAGGGCAGCTGCCATTTGTGCAGGTTGACCTGCCGTTGTTGATAGTATTGGGGCTACTGATTCTGCTGAGGCCTGAGGAGTTTGACAGGCAACACAACTCTTTGATGAGGACTCATTTCTTACATAACATGCGTCACAGTCCCACTGATCTGGCTTCTTCACAAATTGGCTACCGAAACTGGAGCCAAATGCAGAGCTCAGAGGCTTGGTGGTTGGGGCAGCTGACATTTGTGCAGGTGGACCTGCCGTTGCTGATGGTATTGGGACGACTGATTCTGCTGAGGCCTGAGGAGCTTGACAAGCAACACAACTCTTTGATGAGGACTCATTTCTTACATAACATGCGTTACAGTCCCACTGATCTGGCTTCTTCACAAATTGGCTACCGAAACTGGAGCCAAACAAAGAGCTCAGAGGCTTGGTGGTTGGGGCAGCTGACATTTGTGCAGGGGGACCTGCTGTTGCTGATGGTATTGGGACAACGGAATCTGCTGAGGCCTGAGGAGCTTGACAGGCAACACAACTCTTCGATGAGGACTCATTTCTTACATAACATGCGTCACAGTCCCACTGATCTGGCTTCTTCACAAATTGGCTACCGAAACTGGAGCCAAACGCAGAGCTCAGAGGCTTGGTGGTGGGAGCAGCTGACATTTGTGCAGGTGGACCTGCTGTTGCTGATGGTATTGGGACAACTGATTCTGCTGAGGCCTGAGGAGTTTGACAGGCAACACAACACTTCGATGAGGACTCATTTCTTACATAACATGCGTTACAGTCCCACTGATCTGGCTTCTTATTAAACTGAGCTCCAAATGCACTGGTTCCAGTATCGGCAAGGTTTGAACTACTAGTACCAAATGAAAATGGAGGAATGGAAGCACCGAAAGCCCCAAATCCTGCAAACGAAGTGCTAGAACTATTCTTTGATGAACGAGTGCCAAATTCGAAAGAAAAGCTACTTGCTACCGTTGGTCCTCCAGGTGGTGGTGGTTTAGAGTCACTGGCAGTCTTTCCTTCTGGCTTTGACACACTTTTGGGATTTGTAGTCTGACAAGCGACACACTGAATATCTTTGGGCTTGTTTCGCACATAGCACAAATTGCAGTCCCATTCCCCCTCCTTTAGTGCAAACTGGGCTCCAAATGATGATTGCGTTTCATTTAGTTTATAGCCCACGTCTCTCTTTTCCTGCAGGCACTGCTTTGCTGGTGACTTGGGCACATGTTGTTGAGCTTCATCAAACTTTGTTTTGAAAAGCACAGCCTCCTCTGCAGTTTTGAAACGGATGGCCAGTTGTTCAGGTTTGGGCTCCTCATCTGCGTAATCAATGGCATTCCAGACCCATGACTTGTCTGAGCCAGCATTGGGTTTTAGTAGTGTATCAGCGTTGATATAATGGTTGGCACAGATCTTAAGGACTTGTTCTCTCCTCATTAAGATGCGCACCTTTCCTGAAGTGTTATGTTTTAAAATTTTTATATTTCCAATACCCCGTTCCTTCCACTCTTTAGTCTCCATTTCAAAACGGTACAGCTTGGCCCTATTACAGAAC